CACTCTCACCAGCATCTAAATGTCCATTCTCGGCAAAATCGTCGGAATGTTTGATCCATTGGAAGGCGACCGTGTTAGATGCGATGCTGGTGCGGCTGAGGTTACAGTAATGACATGTGCACTGCGTGGGGCCTTCCTGCCTCGAAAGTAAGATGCTTTGCATGCTTACAAGAGTACATTATCTGCCCTGGGTGGCCCGGGGCTGTTGCAAGCTTTATTTTTAGCGCTGTTTTGGAGCTCAGTGATGTGTGTAAATCAACATTAGGCCTGTCGGGTTCCAGTAATGACAACGTTGACTAAGGCTGACCAGTCATCCGATTGGTGCATGGCCCTCTTCTTTGTAAACTGCTAAGGATGGCAGAAAAGGGAAAAGAGTCCACAGAGAGGGGAGGAGAGAGAGAGAGACTGTGGAGAGCAAATGAAAGACGGGAGTGAGGTGGAGGAAGATGAGGGGTAGAAAAAGAAGCATCTCAGCATTTCTGCTTGTGCCAAATAGTTACAGTATATTCATGTAACATAGAGCCGCGCCTGTCCACCCCGAACGTACGAACACACAGACAGAAAGAATGAGTCTGCTCATTGAAATTCTGTCCACTGCGCTTCACAGGCCCTTAATAGGCAGCCTCGGGGGTGGAGAGGTAGGCCTACAGTAGAGTAGCGCAGATTGGGCTGCGGATGACTCACGCTGCTATCCCCCAGTGAATATCTCTACATCATGACTTTGCTCTGCACAGTTGCAAAGTTTGGACTCAAGGGCTTGTAGGTGCTTTTTGGAGAAGGGCAGAGCGTGCCACACGGAGCTGCAGCTCTCTGATAATGAACAACAAGTTCGCGGTGCATTTACTCAGCCTCTATCATATCTGCTTTCAATTGACGGCAGTAGAGCTGCCTGTTTCCGCTGATTCATAAAATATATAGGAGGAGCTCGCATGGAAAATGATGATGGTTTTGTACAGTTTCCCTTTGCGTCGGACATATTTTGCCATGAAGCCTTTTAAAGATAAGATATCCAATAAACAGCTGGCAGCATGTTAACAGAGGCTAAAACCTTCATCCGGTTTTTTTCGGCTGTTAATCTATTGTGAACATGTTTTGAGAAGACATCCATCCCATCATAATCTCAAAATGATATCACATAAGACTCTACAACTACTGGGGTTTTAGATCCTAGGTTATAGATGGTGTTCCAATTATCAAGTGAGATAGAAAATCTTTCTGCGTTTCCTCCATGAGCATCTCTCGGATTTTACCAGAAACTATACGGACCCTCCGTGTGGTAATAAAAGAATGTATGTGAAGATGGATGACATGAAAGATCCCTAAAGAGTTGATCATACTTTCCACTTTCCACGTGGGACCTCGACAACGCAGCTCACCTCCCGGATCGTGCTGCGTTTTTTATTGTGTGTTCTGGGTTCATTTCTGGATGGTGGAAGAAGTGGAGACGCTAGGTTCAATTGTGTGTTGTAGCCATTAAGGTTTAAATCGAATGGTCCCAAGTTCTATGATCAATTTAAACGTCTAATAAATTTAATATTTGGGGGTTTTGGCCTTTCCGTCGGACCGCAGCAGGCTGATTCCAAACCCAGTCTGCATTAACGTTGGCCGAGAGGAGAGGAACTTCACAAGGCACCAACCAAAATGTTTAATTAAACGGACTAATCAGTTAATTGAGAAAATTACCTGCAGATTCATCGATAATGAAATCGTTGGTATTAACCACAAAATCCCCTGAGATGAAACTGCTCCGTGGAAAAGAAGAGATCTCAAATGAGGTAAAAATAAATCATCCAGCTACCAAAACTCCTCTGAATGTCCCAGTCTTTTCTTTGCTCTTCCTCGTGCTGCTTGCATTGTGGGAAACTGTGCAGACACGAGGGCTATCGTGACCCTTTAATTCAGCCCCGTCACACAAGCCCATATTTATGGCCTGGAGTTTCTGTCTGCCTAAATTATTCATATTACACAATATTATTTTTTTACTCTGTGGCTGAATGAAATGGTTATGAAGTGTGTAAAGTGGCCTCCCAGCATCACAAAGGCCCCATTTTTTTTATTCCATTACAACATCCATGTGTGTGATTGACGTGCCCTTAAGCAAGAACTCAAACCTCACCCTCCGCTGGTGTCATGAAGATTATGTCACTCCACAGTTTTCATTTCCACTGTCCGTGCCCCGTTCCTTCAGTCGTCCGTGGTAATTAGCGGCGCTGCTTTAGGAGCTCATCAATATTTCAGCAGCTCGACTCGTGGATCAAACACGAACCTGAGAAAATCAACTCGAGTTGTTATTTTGTCTCGATTAGACGATCATCTGTTGTGCCTTTCCACTCCGACGGAGGCGACGATGCAGTAAAATAATGGGTTATGACTCGCTGTAGTGTTGCATTGTGGGCTGCAAGTGACTCTTTCTTGTAGGAGCAGAGTCTCTCAGACACCTGCATGGTCTATTTCCTTCGTCAAACACTGGCATGTTCAAAAGAAAACATCAAGCCAAGGGTCAGTAGTTACTGTCGGGGAGTGAAGTGTGAAGTGGAGGACATCACTTGGATCTACTGTTGTGCAGCATTTGTGTGTGTTGTCTCGCATAAACAACTGTTACTCTCTTGTCGTCCTCTTCGACATTGTGTGTGTGTGTGATTCTGTGTGTGTGTGTGTGTGTGTGGGCCTTGTTGCACAGCCTGCAGATGTTGTTAGTGTGAATGTGGCTTTTGCTTGGTGCAGGAGGTGCAAGCCCCTAAGGGGGTGTTACTGAAACTGACTCACACGCTGCAGAAGTCTTTCTTAATTTGTTCACCTCCTGGATTTCTTTAAAAAAAAAAAAACTTACTTACTGCATAAAACAGAAACCGACAGGGTCGGATCAGCTGGTGTTGTTGATCAGTTGAATCTCTTTCGCTGGACCAGAGAAAATAATCTTGATAGGATTTGACTCACAGGGAGATGCTGTCACTGTTTTATGTTTTTAAGTACAATCGATTGAGCCTGTTCACACAGTGCATTGTGGCTTACTTGGTCCCCATCGTATTTCTAAAAGAGGAGAAAGTCGGAGAAAGTCCTCAGACTCTCCGCAGGCTCTCACTTGGACATTTGCGTTCACACATACAGTCCCTGCGGAGAAACTCTGGAGGATCTCTGGAGTTCAGTGTCTGAAAGAAGATCATCAGACAAACACAACAAACAAAGCCCAACCACAGATCGTAGACACACTAACAAAGCATTGATGCTAATTCAGTGATGGAGTTAAAACATGAACGCGCCACAAGGCCAGAAATCTGAGACAACAGCAAAGATAGAAAAAGACGGAGTCGAGTATCTGCCTCTGAAAATCCACATGAACGTGTCCAACACTGTTTGATACATTTCTTTAATTATCTGAGACACAGAGCTCTCATTTATCGTTTCATCTTTCTCCCCAGAACGTCTTGTATGATACTGGAATTGGGGATAATGTCAAAGATAATTTGCGCCTCCACCAAAGAGATGGTGGTTTAGTTCCTCCGTCTGTCCGTCAGCGGGAGGATGTCTCTGGGTACCTCAGAATAGATGTGGCGGACAGGACAGCCTCGGGCCAGGGAATGGATGATTAGATTTTTGGTGGTGAGAGCTGGATCTAGGACTTCTTCAATTAGACTATTATCATTTTTATCTGTGATTACAAAACCAACAGAGATGGAGAGTTTCAGCGTGTTTGCTGAGTCACTATCAAGTGTCATCTTCTTATAAATGAAGTTTTCATGTGGTGGGAGCAGAACCCTGTCGGTGTGTACGAGTGCGTTTTGTTTCATCCTAATTTCACTTTCCATTTGGCTCAGGCCCCAGGTTTCAGTCCTGAGAGCTGCCTGATGTTCTTTTGTTTTATTTTGGTCTTGTTTGTGTGCAGGCGGGGGGGGGGGGGGGGGGGGGGTGTTCAGGAAAACAAGGACATTTCCTCTGGACCGATGAAACACAGAAAATCACCAAACATGAAATATGTTGGAGGTATTTTAAGGCTTCTAGGTGTGGGTGACAAAAAAAAATAAAATGGCTTTGAGTCTGAAGCGTCGCTGAAGGTCCAACTCCTGCTTGTGACTTGTTTTCAGTTTGACTCTGACACCAGCTGATTTCGTCCTTTGCGCGAGTTTTTCAGTTTGACCATAACCAGTTCTTTAGCCTTTCTTGTTTTCTCTGGTCTTTAATTTCAATTGTGCTAGACGTGTAGGAAAACCAAAGGTTATTGTTGGTGGTGTCGCTGAATGCAAAATCTTTTCCTTGCAACTTTTACTGCTTCAACATAATATTTCTGAATTTGGAGAAATGTGTTTATTCACTTTTTTTGAATAGTTAAATAAAAAAGAAACCATTCGAATATCTGTCAGTTAAATATGAAGCTACAGCCATCTCATTGTTGGCCTTGTTGCTCTGTGATGTAATGCTGCAGAATAATAAAGACATTTTAAGGGTTTTTTAATATCTCGCATTCGTCAACTTTTACATTTTTCTTATAAAGACATATTTTACATTAATGCAGCTGTTTGGATTTATGTATTCATCCACCAGCCTTCATTGTTGGTGTCCACAGGAAGATTATAAATAAATTACATCTGCTTACAAATACTTTGCATTGATTATAGTTTGTATACTTCTTGTTAATACTAAGTAAAGTAAGTTTTACATGATTTAAAAGTGTTACTTGTCATCCTCTTTCCTTTTTAAGATATTTAGGTCATCCTGTATGTGTTCTATAATAGATATTATAATTGTTTATATATTCAGTCATCCAGAATGGTGTTTGCTCTCTTGTGTTCTCTGCTCGTTGGCTCGCACAGTCTCTTTCTCCGTATTGTGTGATGACCTCTTCCCAGCAGACCTAATCACACACACTGTAATGACACCTGACACTGACGTGATGAGGACGGACGTGTCACAGCATCACAGCCCTCCCACTGCTGATCCTAACTGACCTTTTCTTTCCTCCCCTCTCTCCTCTCCCCCCCCCCCCCCTGCATCCCCCTGTCCAGATGCAAGGTGTGCCGTCCCCCCCTCCTATCATCATCACCATCATCGCACCCACGCTCCCCACTCCTTCCACGCTCCCTCCTACGACCGTCCTGCTCACGACCGTCCCTCCTTCGACCGTCCCTCCTTCGACCGTCCCGCCTACGACCGCCCTTCCTTCGACCGTCCCTCCTACAACCGGCCCTTGCACGAGCGCCCCATCTACGAGCGACCCTCGCATGAGCGTCCGCCCCAAGACCGCTGGAACCCCCGTATCCGTGTGAGCCCTGGAAATCAGTTCTACATGTTGGACCAGGAGGAGGTATTGTACCCCACACACCAGAAATACACTGATGCTGATCTTGCAGGAGACGTTGCAGATTTTAAAAAAAGTGGCTTTAATATTATCACAGACTGTATTTCGGAAAAACTTTGTGCTACTTAGAAAATCCTACTTTTCAGCTCATATGTGTTTTAAGAACGAGGTCAGAGAGAGTGAAGGTAACCAGAGTCTGGCCCAGATGCTCAAGCTTCCCTGGATCACCAGCGTCAAGTCTGCAGGAAACTTATCTTAACTCTGTGTGTCGTTTGGAACTGGATCCAAACTGCGTCACTATGACCTCAACAGAGAATGTTTGGTTAATTTCATTCAAGCAGAGTGGATAATTATTCTTTTTATATTTTTCTTTCTAGTTGTAAGCAGTATATAAAATATATAAATATGGAATAAATGACTCAATAACGCATCTAACGTAGTTGTAAGAAGATATAAGTGTTTATGAATGTATTTTGCCAATAACTTCAATATTTGGGGGCAACACAAAAATGTTTAGGGATAGAGGTTTTCCAAAAATTCCCGAAAGTGGTCATTGACTGCATTGTTGTGTTTATTCAATTAATACTTCAAATTAATTTATATCCCTTAATAACTACATGATAGTTGATTATAAACCATTTCATATATTATATCTTGTTTGTGGAGAAATTGACAAATCCCTCCATGATCACAATATGACTGACACCACTTTTTAAAGCTTCACAGTTTTGATGAATGATCTCTTTTGTGTATCGACGGAGCAAACTGCTGCCGGTTGTGTGTAACTGTCATGTTGCTCTTCAGACCAGGAGAGGGTACTGTTCTTCAACTTTTCTTCTACCTCCTGCTCTGAGCTTTCTACTCACAAAAACACACAGTTTACTCCGAGCCGGCTGATTTATGACCCCACTTACGACACTGTACCGTAATGGAGCAGAATCCATAGGTCACCCCCCCCC